ATTTAAAAAATTTAATTGATGATTTAGTACTTAATCAAAATTTTCTTAATTATTATGAATTAAAATCATATCTCCAAAAACATGATAACAATATAACGGGTGATGATATGGATTATTATTATTCGTATTATAAAAATGAAGTTTTGAAATATCATGATAAAATAATTTCTAAAATTAAAGACAAAATTAAAAATAATGAATATTCAAAGGGAAAAAGTAAATCACAACTTAAACAATTGAAAGATTTCAAAAATAAAGTATTAACAGAAGAAGATATTGATGAATTATATAAATTATATAAATTATATAATCCTGAGCCGCAAAAACCAAAGGAACAAAAACAAAAGGTGCAAAACGCCCAGGTCCTTCAGACCATAAATGAAGCACAAGCTTTAATTTATGATTCATTAGTTAAACCATATTCAGCCCGACTTTTAAATGAAGATCAACTTTTGGAATTCATCCTTCAACATAAACTCGAAGCGGGAAAGTATATCAAACCTTTATATACAGCATATTTAAAACAAATGAATAGAATACATCCAGAATTAATGAAGGGGGGAATGAAATCCAAAATCAAAGCAGATAAAATTAAACCACCTGCAACACCAAACCCTCCAACGACAGTACCTCCTCCTCCTTCAGTTAATCCTTCATCATTCACTTTATTATATCCATTTCAAACATTAAAGAAGCAAAAAGATTTTAAAAAGGATTTCAAAATATTAAATAAACCAACTGACCCAAAAATTCAACCGTTAAAGGAAAAATTTAGTCGCCCTTCATTTGCACCATATCCATATTCATACGAAATCGATCATTTAGAATATTCAAGAGGAAACGTTACTTATTTATTTGCCATTAACATTAACACCAGATATTTATATTGCATTCCGGTGAAAGGGAAAACAGAACAGGAAACAAGAAGAGCTATTCAATACTTACTAGATCATGAAAGAGTAGATAATATAAGGGGTGATGGTGATAAAGGATTTCAGGCAGCTATGGCTCATTATTTCCCACAAATTAATTTTTACTTTTCATCCTCTCCATATACGTTTCATAATAAAATAGTTGATGCGGTAATGAGAACTCTTAGAGATGCGTTAGGGGTTAATGGTCAGATATACTGGGATGGAAATCATGACTCCATCATACAGCAGTTAGTATATTATTACAATAATACATGGCATAGAACAATAAACATGAAACCGGTGGAAATGAAAAATGATATTTCAAAAGAATGGGAATATATTAGAAAGCAAATGGAAAGGTTGAATGATGTTAAACGTGAACAAATTAATTCGGGGCTCATGAATTTTAAACAAGGGGATAAAGTTTTGATTCATCTCGATTATGGAAAAACTGATAAATCAATGACAAAAAGAAGACGAAGATTTGACACAATAGCTGAATTTGTTAGATATATTAACGGCAATGCATTAGTTGAAGTTGACAATAAATTAATAGAAATTCCGATTTATTTTATTACTCCATTATATTTAAATAATATTTAATTTTTTTATTTCGTAAGAAATGAGTAACAACGAAGCAGTCAAGAGTCCAGACGATGAATATAAAAAGAAACTAAACAGAATTAAATCAAAAATATGTTATTACAAAAAGAAGCCACAATGTGGTGGGGTTGAAAACGATAAAGAGAGGAAAGAAATAATCGAAAAATTAGAAACTTATCGTTCAATCCTTAAACTGAGTGAAGCAAAAATAAAAGAATTTAATAGAATAAATAAATTGATTGGAAGAGATGAATTTAATAAAGATGAATTTTTAAACTCTATCCAAATTTAATTTTTATTCCTCTTCGACAACATCTCTCTTTCCATCATTACCGCATAACCACATTTTCTCAATTTTAGTGGTTTGTTATTTTTAACATGTTCTTGCATCATTTTTATCATTTCCTCCCTTGTTATGATTCGTGGTAAATTTTGAGCTTGTGGGGTATTCATTTATGATAAAAATAAAAATTTGTTATCACTTATTTTATCGTGAATGTTTTTAGGTTATTCAATAATTAATTATTTTTGAAGAACTGAAGGTGCTACCATGTTACCATGTGCTACCAGGTCATTTAACTTTTCTGAAAAAATGTGACAACATGACATTTTGACAACAACATAGGAGGAAGGTAGTTATGAATTATTTTTGAATAACTGAAGGTGCTACCATGTTACCATGTGCTACCAGGTCATTTAACTTTTCTGAAAAAATGTGACAACATGACATTTTGACAACAACATAGGAGGAAGGTAGTTATGAATTATTTTTTGAATAACTGAAGGTGCTACCATGTTACCATGTGCTACCAGGTCATTTAACTTTTCTGAAAAAATGTGACAACATGACATTTTGACAACAACACAGGAGGAAGGTAGTTATGAATTATTTTTGAATAACTGAAGGTGCTACCATGTTACCATGTGCTACCAGGTCATTTAACTTTTCTGAAAAAATGTGACAACATGACATTTTGACAACAACATAGGAGGAAGGTAGTTATGAATTATTTTTGAATAACTGAAGGTGCTACCATGTTACCATGTGCTACCAGGTCATTTAACTTCTCTGAAAAAATGTGACAACATGACATTTTGACAACAACATAGGAGGAAGGCAATAATTAATTATTTTTGAAGAACTGAGGGTGCTACCATGTTACCATGTTGACGACATGACATTATGTCAACAACATAGGAGGAAGGCAATAATTAATTATTTTTGAAGAACATTAGGTGCTACCATGTTACCATGTGCTACCAGGTAATTTAACTTCTCTGAAAAAATGTGACAACATGACATTTTGACAACAACATAGGAGGAAGGCAATAATTAATTATTTTTGAAGAACTGAGGGTGCTACCATGTTACCATGTGCTACCAGGTCATTTAACTTTTCTGAAAAAATGTGACAACATGACATTTTGACAACAACATAGGAGGAAGGTAGTTATGAATTATTTTTATTTTTTTATTCCTATATAAATGACAGCAACAAACAACAACAGCAACTATATCGTTTCTGATGAAAATATCATTGATTCATTAGCTGAGGAATTAGTTGTGGCAGAAACTAAAACCCTCAACGAAAGAATTGGTGAAAACAGGATTGATTTACATAACTACCTCAAACATGATGGAGGAAGAGGAAGGAAAACTGGTATGGCTTTATTAGTAAATAAAATATCAAATTTAACGATTATAGATGTTGATATCAATAAATCGTACAATGATGAACTTAAAGAAACAGTTAGAAAAGACATTTTATCAAAACTTTCGGATAAAGATGTTATCGTTAAAACCGCTTCAGGAGGTCTTCACATTTATTGCAACACTAATTTCTTCTATGCAGTTTCGAACAGAATGATTAAATGTTATTCCTGCAATGATTATGATATTGATATCATGACTTCTATGGATGATTCAAAGCGTTTTTAGTGGTTATGGCTGATTCAAGAGTTCGCAAGAATGCAACAGAACCAATCAATACATACTCATTCATTCGTGGAAGTTATGATTCAACATTAACTAGAACAGTGAATGATATATTAAATGATTTGAATATTAAGGTAAGAGTTGAACAGAAGAATGAAGAAATAAAGACTATCATGAATGAAAACAAAGATGTAAACATTGACGATAAACTAGCTCAGAGCATAGTTGATGGCATCTGTGATTTTGAAGTACATAATGACGGTGGAAACATGAATTTAGAAAAAAGAAGTTACATTATTCACACTGTTTCAAGCTATTAATTCGTTACCGGATCATTTAATTAATGAAGCATACGATAACGTTTATAACTTCTGCAGTTTAACAGAAAATGCAAAAAGTAATTTTGAAAAAGCACGTAATAGATATGCACATTTAATGACTTCTCCATTTGTTTTAGTGAAGATTCTAAAAACTATATCAAAAGGAATATTATGATGAATATGTTTTTACCTTTATTACGTAAGCCAAAAATAACATTTGATATCAAACTTGATGACTCGTTTTTGATAACAGATATTAGACGCAAGGCTGAAAATCATCAGTATAAAAACAGTTCTGAAGTAATTGAGGATTTATCACGTGTAATCCGTTTTGTAGATTGTGGAAATAAATATTTCATTCAAAAGGACTATAATATCCACGACAAAATGAATCAAATATCATTTGTTCTTCAGTCAAACATGAAAGAGTCACTCAAAATGATTAAATTATTTAAAGAAGAAGGTAAAACCATAACAGCATGGGATGTACTACTAAATCAATTGTCTTCATTAACCGTTAAGGGTGTTTGCTTTAAATCTGATTCCCCAGATGTTTTCTCAACGTTTCAAGGTTATAAATACAACGTTCTCGAAAAACCAGATTACTCAAAAATTGAGATGTTTATGAATTTCATTAAAGAAGCCATTTGTGATAATAACGATGAAGTGTATAAATACCTTCTCGGCTGGATTGCATCAATGATTCAACATCCTGGAATCAAGAATGAAACAGCAATTATTTTGAAAGGACTTCAGGGAACAGGTAAAAACAGATTCACAGACATTATTTCTGAACTTCTCGCCGGTTATTCATGTAAAAACATTACTGAAATAAGTGAGCTAACGGGTAATTTCAACTCAGTAGTTGAGAATAAAATGTTTCTTGTACTTAATGAACTCAAGAATGTAGGTGAAGATAGACTCGCAAACTTCAACGCTTTGAAATCAATTATTACGGATAATGAGATAAGAATTAATGAAAAGAATCAACCCAGAAGAACTGCCCAGAACGTTGCCAATTTCATTTTCGTAACTAACAACGTCTACCCTGTCAAAATTGAAGTTGGAGACAGAAGATACGTAGTTTTAAGAGTTAATGGTAAATTCAAGGGTCAATTTGATTACTTCAAGAATTTAATGGATTCATGCACAAAGGAATTTTATGATAATTTACTGACGTATTTTATCAATTACGACCTTTCATCATTTAATGTACGAATCATACCGATGACTGAAGCCAAACAAGATTTAATTGAATTATCATCAAATCCTTTAGATGTATGGATAAATACACATTATGATGAATTGTGTGCAGGTATGACGTGTGAAAATGCTCTATTCTGCAAACCATCAGACATGAAAGACAAAAACTTTCAAATGAGTATTAAGGATAAATGTGATAGGAAACATAGAAGAATAGACGGTAAACAAACATGGTGTTATGTTTTGAAAGAAGAAATGAAAGGATTATATAAACAGGTTGAACCAAACGATAATGAGGATTCATTTACTGACGATGAAATACCTGTAAATGAGCCGCTAAGCGGCGAGACCTGAAGGTCTAGCTTTATAAAGTATGATTGGAATTTATTTTTGCATTAATCCTTTCATGTCTGTTGTCAAAATGTCATGTTGTCACATTTTTTCAGAGAAGTTAAATTACCTGGTAGCACATGGTAACATGGTAGCACCTAATGTTCTTCAAAAATAATTAATTATTGCCTTCCTCCTATGTTGTTGACATAATGTCATGTCGTCAACATGGTAACATGGTAGCACCCTCAGTTCTTCAAAAATAATTAATTATTGCCTTCCTCCTATGTTGTTGTCAAAATGTCATGTTGTCACATTTTTTCAGAGAAGTTAAATTACCTGGTAGCACATGGTAACATGGTAGCACCTAATGTTCTTCAAAAATAATTAATTATTGCCTTCCTCCTATGTTGTTGACATAATGTCATGTCGTCAACATGGTAACATGGTAGCACCCTCAGTTCTTCAAAAATAATTAATTATTGCCTTCCTCCTATGTTGTTGTCAAAATGTCATGTTGTCACATTTTTTCAGAGAAGTTAAATTACCTGGTAGCACATGGTAACATGGTAGCACCTAATGTTCTTCAAAAATAATTAATTATTTTTTGAATAACTGGGAAATAAATTTACGTCAAATATGTAATTTATAATATCTTATGTCGACAGGCTACGTAGCACAGTGGTCTAAGGTGGTGTTATGGAGGGGTCAGAGTCTGTGGTTCGAACCGCGACAGCGCCGTATTTTCTTATTTTCTTTATTTGTCTTGTTTGTCGTGAATAAAAAGTGTCATAAAAGTGCTCTATCTTCCACGGGAATAAATAAAAAATTTACTTTATTTCTTCTTTATTTCTTTGTTCATTTACTCACAATATTTTTTTACAAAACGACCCCAAACTTTTAACTTCTTTTCTGCAGCTTCAAATGCTATCTTAGCGAGTTCATATTCTCTAAATTCTCTCTTTAAATCTTCTTGTTCCCATTGGTCTAGTTCGTATGGAGAATCTCTATAACCATAATATATCTCACGTTCATGTTCTAATTGTTTTTCACACATTTTTCCAACTTCTTCTTCGAACAAAGGTTTAGCATTCTCCACTGTATCTTCGAGTTCTTCTTCATCTAACTTCTCATGAACTTTCTTGTCTATGGAGTCCATAATATCTTTGACATAAAATGCATACTTTACAGAGCACCATTCAGCAACAAAATGAACGAGGTCAGCATGTATGTAAATACCTTTGAATTCATTCATAACGCCCTTAGTAAGCTCATAAAATGCTTGTTTTGAGGTTGAGCCACTTTTGGCTCGACCGTATTCTTTCAACCAAAACTCAAGAATTTCCTGCATTTTAGCACTATTGAGAAATCTGTTTAAATGGTTTAACTTTCCTGCTTCTCTTGCCATCTTTGTTGCATTAATGTAACCATCCTTGTCTCTACGTAAGACTTCAATACCGTTATAAGTGCCTTTTGTGAATGTTTCACCATTAGATTTGTTCGTGAATGTTTTTGCTTCGACTGACATTACTGTTCTTACATACAAAATAAAAAAATAAATAGAAATAATTTTAAAACTAATGAAATTAATTATTTTTGGACTGAATTCATTGAACTCTATACCATGCGAATACAGTCATAAATGGTGGCATGTAATCTTTACTTTGTCCCGTTGTTTGTGTATATCCTGAAACGCGATGTGTATGGTTTCCTTCTCCCTGAGTGTCACTCCAGTAACAATTTATGGCAAATTTAACATCATCTTTAACATCATATCCTTTACCTTTTGTCATTCCTGACCAATCCCAATATCTATGCTTATGCCAACCTGCTTGAGATGTGCTTAAATCTATGTAGTGACTGTGTGCAGGTAAATTTTCACCCGTAATTGTTTTACTTCCCCCTGTTTCCTTTGAAGAGTTTGCACAATACAAAAACCTGTCGACTATTTGTTCCCATGCACCAACACCAAACATTGCTTGAGGACCTCTCACATCCATAGATGTATAAATAGAACCTACTGGGTTCATTAAATCAAACATATGAGATATTATAGGATTGTCTCTTTTGAACTTAAAATATAGTGTAACTATTTCGGGTTTCTTCTGGTTTGTGTCAGAATATTTTTTATAATATAGGGTGTCCAAAGGTGTGTTTAGCACAAACCTGAATACTGCGAATAGAAATAAACAAGTTACATATATATAAAGTTTATTTAAATATAATCACCATTGGATTCAATCACGCGTTCGCAGCGATCGATCCAGGCTTGAAAGACACGCTTTAAATCATCATGAGAAAATTGCTCAAATTGCTCTCTTACAAAATTTTCAAGATCATCTGGACTCGCGAATTCGCGTCCTTCAGCTCTCTTTTTTAGCGTGCCGAATAAATAAAAGTCAGAGGGTGCAATATCAGGTGAATAAATTGGGTTTGGAACAACTTTGACATTGTTTTCCAACAAGTAATTCATTACCTTATGACTTTTGTGAACTCTTGAATTATCAAAATGAATTGCAAACTTTTGTTTTTGTTGTTTGGATTTCTCAAACTCATCAGAATTGATAATTTGAGTAAGAACATTGTCAATTAGATACTGAGCATTCATCGTATTAGGTTTTTGAAGAATATCAATTGCGATGATGCCATTCACGCCCCAAAAAACCGACAACATCATCATTGGTGTGTCAATTTTTTTCTTCGGGAATGTTTGCGGATTTTCATCCTTCGGGATCCACATGATTTTGGCTTCTGTTGCATATTGAAACCAAGACTCGTCCCCTGTTACTAAAAAGCGAAACTTCTTGGATTGATACGCACCCAATATAGAGAGGAGCTCTTTCGAAGATTGGACTCTAGATTTTTTTTGAACTGAATTAAGGTTGTGCGGAACCCAACGTGTATACGCTAGTTTGTAGTTCAAATAATTGTGCAGATAATAACTGACTGTTGTACGTGGTATCTTTGTCATCTCCTCTATCCTTCTGAGTGATGCTCTTGGGTCTTCATCTAGCGCTTGAAGAATTGCTTTGATTTTTCTTTGATCCGGCGATTTTTTGTCAATTTTTATGATGGGCGCCTTTTTGTTCATGAAGTGATACATCCTAACATGATACGTTACAGTGGAATAGCTAGGAGCATCCATACCGAAGCATTTTACCAATGTCTCGTAGATTTTTTACAGTCTTTGCATTTTTTTGCAAGAGCGAGGATGTTTTCTTTATGATTCATTAAAAAAATGAAAAAAATCCCGCCAAAATTTCCCGCGAAACCGCCTCTTGTCTCAAAATTCATTTTATATCCGGCATGGCGCCAAATACAAAAATAAACATACTCATCATATACATATATTCATATTTTTTATTATATATTTATAATCAGCATATATCTCCTTTAATAGTCTCATATAGAGCGCTGTGCTAAACGCACCTTTGGACACCCTATATAATCTTATGTTTTCAGGGTATGTAAAATCTTGACTATAATATTTATTTTTGTCATCTTCATAATAGTATACTATTCTCGTTTTTTCTATTGCATTATATCTTTTATATCTATAATAATCTAAATATAATGTTTGCTTTTTTGGGTCTACATGTGCGTCAACACCATAGTCATAATAATACGGTGCTGGAGCTACGTTAGACAATGTCATATCCGTCATTCATAAACTCTTAAATATTTCTTTTGTTCGTCTCCATATAAGTTTAAGTAGCAGTTGTTGTCTAATGGAACTTTAACTTGTGTGCCATTATTCTTTATATAGCCTACATACATTTCATTGTTATTTTTCGGAATGAGTTTTATACCGTATACCATTTCTTAAGGACTGTACAAAACTCCCATCTAAAATATTTGTTTTCTTCATTGACAGAAAAGTCGCCAACAATAGTTTCAATATTTTTTGTTCCAACTAAACTTTGGTATATTTCGTTAACAAATGATATATCTGCTTTCTTTGCTAACTCATCGTTAACATATTCCTTATCTGCCTTCTTTGCTAACTCATCGTTAACATATTCCTTATCTGCTTTCTTTGCTAACTCATCGTTAACAAATGATATATCTGCTTTCTTTGCTAACTCATCGTTAACAAATGATATATCTGCTTTCTTTGCTAACTCATCGTTAACATATTTCCTTATCTGCTTTCTTCATTATGTCATTTAGGAAACCTTTTATGAATTCCTCATTTAAATTAAATCTTCCAATCTTCAAAACTTTAGGAAATGCATTTAATGCGTAATATTTGTTCTTCTGGTGGAATTGATGTTATATCATCCGTTATTCCTTTAATTTTTGAATTCATAAATAAAATTTCTTTTATATTTTGATATCACTGCACCACCTTTGCAAACGAATTCGAAATGGTCATTTTTCAATACTATCTCCAAATCTCCATATTTCAACATTTGCGTTTGTTCTGCCGTCTTTGAATTATATGCATATATGGCGTATGTAATGGTCTGTGGTTGCTGTTGTTTAATCATTTATTACGATTTAAAAATAAATATTTAATCTGTTTATCTCATCAGCTATTTTTCTATTTGAAATTGCCATAATATTTCATTCATAAATTCTAAATCACAATCAAATAGGTCAGTTATTCTAAATTTAATATTTGATAAATCTTTTGAATGAAGAATAAATGAATTCCCGGATAATTGAAACGGATATGATAAAGAAAATATGTTTAAGTTGATGGATAAAATGTTTTGTATTGATGGGTAAGAGTTAGGGTCTAATGTTTGATGTGAAAATCTCATTGGGTATTAACTTTATCACATTTGATTAAAATGAAATTAGAACCAGTGTCAGAATACAAAACATCCCCAACATCTTTTTCAAAATTTAATATCCCAACAATGAACGAAGACGAGGAGTACAAAAATTTAATTTTCAGCGGAAATTTAATAAGGTTATTTATTTCATCAAGTTCAAAAAGTTTATCAGGTTTTGATTTAAAATTTTCTTCATACCATACGATAAATGACTCATTTAAAATAACTTAAAATCATGTTAAT